GTCACAACGGGTAATTCAATAACAGTACATTATTAGCTAAGTTCTGTACTTTGTTTAATTTCCTTAGTTTTCACCCAAGGTCTCGTTTTCCATCCCATACAGGACGCCGCATCACACTTAGAAGTTGTGTCTCCTTTGGCTTCTGCCGACAGTGTCAGTTTCTCAGATTTTTTTTTTTTTTTTAATGACCTTGCCAGTTTTGAGGTGTCCTGATTAGTGTTTGCAGAATATCCTTTAACTCAATTTTTTTATTGTTTTTTTTTTCATGAGTAGATTGGGGTGTGGGTTTTGAGGCGGAAGATAACTATTACTTCTAAAAAACATATCAGAAGTAAGATATAAACAAAGTAAAGGTTAAGTTACTACGAAATTTTCTCATGTTGAGATTCCGTCTCTTCTACTTCACCCTTCAACTCCGTTATCAATAGTCTTATTGGTTTTGTTTTTACCCAGTATCATTCTCTGTGCCAGCAAGGATCTTGCATGTTTAGCAAAGGAGGATCATACATTTGATTTAGATGTTTTAAGATATATTTTATAAGTATTCCACTGAATTCTTATTTATTCAGAATTAGTGTTACATTTTTGTCAATTGACTTTTCAGCACCTGTGGAAATAGGCTTACTTTTTTTTTTCTTTATGTTACATTCCTGGGATAAACTATAGTTGGTTAATTTATTATTGTATTATGTGCTGTCAGATCCAGATTCTGATTGGTTTAAGGTCCTGTCAGTATATTTTTAGGATTTTTTTCATCAATATTTGTGAATGAGTTTGTTTTGTAATGTTTATTGCGAAATGCTTGCATTTTGGAGCCTGTGATGCTTGCCGTAAAGATTTTTTTTAAACATTTTCCTCCTTTGTAATATGTCCTTAGACTTTGTAGAACCCAAATTCTACTTTCTAGAAATCATCACTGTGACTAATACTTAATTCATACTTTTTGTGTTAAGCATTGTTAAAGTTTTGTGGGGGTTTTTTTGTTTTTGTTTTTGTTTTTTTTCCTAAGACAAGGTCTCACTGTCACCCAGGCTAAAGTACAGGGGTGCAATCTCGGCTCACTGCAACCTCTGCCTCCCGGGCTCAAGCAATCCTCCCACTTCAGCCTCCTCAGCCTGGAACTGTAGGTCCCCACTATAATGCATGGATAATTTTTGTATTTTTTGTAGAAATGGTATTTCACCATGTTGCCCATCCTAGTCTCAAACTCCTGAGCTCAAGCGATCTGCCTACTTGTGTCTCCCAAAGTGCTGTAATTACAGCCTGAGCCACCATGCTCACCTTTCGTTCAGCTTTTATTATCTTTAAGAAGCTTTTGAGGCTCGGTATGACTTTTCCTACTTTGCAGGAAACTGAGGTACAGAGAGGTTAAATACTTTTACTTGTACCGGTATGTAGCTGCATAGGATTTAATCTGTTTCCAGAGTCTGTGCTCTTATGTCCAGAAATTTGGTTTAACAACAAAAAAAAACCCACAAATTGTTAAACATGACAAGGGTCGTTATCAGACCTCCTTACCTAATTTCTTTCAGAATTATCTTGGTTTATTTCATGTTTCTTTTGTAGACAATTTAATGGCAAAAACTTTGCATGGCAGAACTCAGCTTCCCTGTGGCGACGTCCTGAAGCAGGAAGCCTTGCAATGCAAACATCCTCTAACGCAAGGAGACCCAAAATGTGAAAATCGGGATTTATCAAACTGCAATGATGAGAGTATTACTAAAAAATTAGTACTTAACAGAATATTTCCACAGTAGATTTCTTTAAGCAGTAAGCTGTGCCTGTCCTCCACCATGGGGCATTCAAAATGTTAAGCAAATTAGATTTAGTCTGCAACATTGCGTAGAGTTAACTATTAGGAATGGAAACTTTGTTAAGGTAACTACATCCTGTGCAACTTCTCCTAAATTGACACTTTAATTCGGTATCTTTCTAAATGAAGTAATGCATATTGGCAGAATTTCAATCTACAATGTATATATTTCCAGGCTACTATAAATCCACAGAGTTTTTTTGTTCAGAACAGAAATAGAAATCCTATTCTTTAGTTTTATTTTTCCATACCTGTGTCCCCAATAGAGCACAAAGACTCCAAAAATACATCTGTGTTGGAAATATTTAATGAGCAGTAGGAGCCAACACGTGCACTCAGGTAATGGCATTTGTTCCAATTTGTACTTGGCTGTAACAGCCTATGCTTTATGCAGAATGACTGCCTTCATAACAAAATGTATTTTTAAATTGCTCATATAACCATGTCTTGGATCATGGCACTCACTTTGGCTTCTGTATATGTTATTTCTCTAGTGTTTCAGGTCTTTTTTTAAAAAAAATGTAGGCGTTAGGCATAATTAATCCATATCAAGGAAGAATCTAAAAGGTTAGCTCTAAGAGACTCTGCTAGAGCAAGAACAATTTAGGGAAACTAGGGGTTTTGTTTTCTAAAGTGAATTTCTGAGATTTATTGAGAGTATTTTGTGGACTTGCTTATTATAGTTACATAATTTGCAGGGCCAAGAACAAAATAAAAATGCAGGGCCCCTAGTTCAAGAACGTGAAAAAATTGATCTTAAAGCTACTAAAATATAAAGCTTTTTCCTTTTTGTGGTTTTCTCCTTTTATCACAATGTGATTTGATGTCTTAGTAAAGAAAAATTTTAATATAAATTTATTAGCATGAAGCCTACTTTGTATCTTTATATTGTGCAATCCCAGATTTAAATGCAAATGTAAGAACATTTAACTTGTAAGCGAAATTACTGAAACTGCACAGTTTGTATTTTGCACTTTATACATATATGCATATGTATTTTGTTCCAACAAGAAGAGTGGAGATGCTGCACAAAACTAATTCAGCTGCTTATTTCACTTCTTGATATGTGCACATTCTACCAACACTCTTCCTTCAGCTTATTTCTGAATGAGGAAGAATTGAAAAGAAAAGTAAGCACGGTTTCCCTATCTTTATCTTTTCTCCTTTATCATTTTCAGCATACGTGGTTGGCTAATACATGAGTAAGAAAGGATATGATAGGGTTTCTTGGTCATTCGTTTCTATTAAAATGCCCTTGCTTTCTTTCTGCATCTAAAGGAAGGTCTGTTTCGAGTGGCAAGTACAGTCACTCACAGGTCTCTGTGTCCCCCTCCTTGCCCCTTTACTGAATGGTAAATGTGACATACCTCTTTCCAGCTTTGAGTCTTGCTGGACTCCCACACATGATGGTTCCTCTGGAGTTATGTGCTAATGGATACGTCTAATGCCATAAATGCATGGGGAGGTGAGGAAATGCAGACGTGCATGTGGCTCCTGTTTCCTCCACTCACATGCACTCTCCATTGTCCCGTCAGTCTTCCCTTGCAAAACACAAGTTCAAAGATAAAAGTATTAAGAATTTCAAGATGTTTACAGCAAGACCTTAAACCAAGCATGGGGTCCTTCTGAGCCTGGGGCCCATGTGATTGTAGATGCTCTATGCTCATGAAGTCAACCCTTCCCCAATTATCTTGTCTACAAATTGAGGTGCAATAGTAGTGCCACGTAGGATTGCTGTCAGAGAGTAATTGAGTTATGGATATAAAGTTCTGGATATAGTATCCTGCACTTAGAAAGCACTCAGTACGTGGTAGTTTATTGCTGTGTATCTCAAAGAAAATCAGGAAGTGGTTATTGTATTCCTACTAGGAACCTTGTTTATTTTATTTGGGTCCAGCATTCTTTCTATGAGCCCCACTAAGCAGGATGTGCTTTCAAACACACTAGACCCGAACAGAACGAATGCTCCTTTATCTGTGTGGTGGCAGGAGGCAACCGTACAATAATCAGGCAAAGCTCTGAGGTGAGTTTATCAGGCTGCCTTGGTTACTTTATTCGGTGGTAATTACTGCAGCAGGCTATAGCCAATAGTGTTGGGTAAGGTGTCCAGAAAAAGACAAAGGTAAAAGTTATTAAGAGAAGTGGCATTGCCAGGTTGTCTCTATCTGAAAATGAGGTCAGCTCTGCAAAGCCTTGGGCAAGAAGGCCTCTGCTCCAAACTCATGGAGGGGAGACATTTGAACCCAGAATGAAAACAAAGATAGGAAGTCTGCTTGAGTAAGAAGGGGTGAACTCTAGCTGACCACAGCCTCCAAATGAAATTTCTTACAGAATGAGTTTCAGGGTTTAAAGTGAAGAAACATTGTAAAGAATACTCGTCAACCCATTAATCCAATAGAGCTGCTTATAAAATGCTACTTCATGTGACCAAAATATATTTGGTTTATTTACATATGTGTAGCCGATCATTCATGATGCAAACATTAATTTTTTAAAATTATTTGATAATTTATTAGCTCCTTATTAAATTAGCATATGCCAATTGCTTTAATATAATTTTATTTAAAACTTAAATATCTTGAAATTCCCTATTTACATTTCCTTGAAATATATTTAAAATCAAAATTATACCAACTTACACATTGTGGCTCTTTAAAAATTGTTCATTAAAAATGACCAGCTATGAAAGTAGGCTGAGAAATTAAATAAACAGGATACAAATTAGGAAGGACATTATAAATATTCCTGTTCCCATGGAAGTGACTGATTTCAGCTCATACAGGTGAGACCCACGGTGTCCTGTGCACGTAGAATTTTTCCTTTTCTGGTGTTGAAGCATTAGGCTTGGCCATCCCTGAGGAACAGAATAACACAATGGACATAATCTTATCTTTGCAGAGAAAAGAACTGATGAAAACAGGGTTAAAATCTACGTATCACATCATTCTTTTAAGACTTCTCCCTTACTCTTGCCCATTTGGTTTGGAAAATCTGGATTTAATTTTTGTTTTAATGACTTAATAGACTTCTCAGGAAGTGTTAACTTTTCAGATTACTGGGTCCTCTCACTCCCTGGAGCTGCGGTTATGGAGGATGACTCAGGGAATGCTGAGTCAGGGTGTGGGTGTGCTGCCTCCAATGCCAGTTCTTGAAGGGTTTTTCTGATCAATAATGTTATTGTTTCCAGATGCGGAGCCGAAATATCTGATAGTTGTGCGACCTGCTCCCCCTCCAAGTCAAAAGAAGTCATGTTCAGGTATGGTCCTTTGCATTTATTTTATTTTATTTATTTGAACCATGACTTTTCATCTCTTTTGGACCCATGGAGACAAATGCCTTGGGAAGCTTTAGGAATGTAGAGGAGGTGTCAGCCCTGGGTCAACAGTTTGCCCTGTGGAAAGGAAACACAGCCTGGTGGCAGAGGCTGCCTGGGATTTCCTCCTGGTGCCACCACTGGCAAACCGCAGGGAATTACGTAAGTTGTTGAACCTCTCTGCTCCTGGATTCTGTGCGTTATAGGGTTATTGTTGAGGATTAAATGAGTGAATGGCAGTGCCTGGCCTGTGGTCAGTGCTCACTTAGGGTTAGCCTGTTTCTATTTTGTAGTGTGTGAACTCATGCTCACTACTGTGCCTTTCATATATTAAAGGAAAAATTTTATGTCTCACCTTTCCTTAAGGAGATGGTTTACATCTTAAAAGGATAACTCATGTATGTGCGCTAAATAGATCAGCACATAGGTTTTATTTACTCCTTATCTCTCCCTTCCAAACCGCTTCAATTCAATAAAGGAAGGTCTTCTTTCATAAAATAAAAATAATAGCAACACCCATGTTTCCAGGCCTAGGAAGACTTGAAACAGGAAAGTGGATATGTAAATAAGTAAGTAGAAACTTTCTACATAACTAAAGATTAAAATTCTATGTCTTCTAATTTCACTGCCAGAACTATTACTCAGTTCAAATAATATAGCCAACCATTGTCATAAGGAAGAATCTGTGAATACGCTTTTTCCATCTGATGTTGCACCTCCCTAACTATATGTAGAGCTGATCACAACATTTTGCTTTTGTTTTTCTAATGTGAATGACCTCCGAATAATTATTTCCAAAGCATGTTCACCTTTTATGGTACACTAGATAACATGCAATAAAAGGATCTTTTTTGTTTGTTTGCTGTATTTTTCTAGAGGAGTAAGATGGGAGAGAGAGCACTCAGCTATTCAATTGTACTGAGCAAACGGGCCCTTTGCAGCCCTGTATTCAGTCTCGTAGACCCATCGGCCTGAGCCTGGTTGCCAGAAATCAGTTGCCACAATTCCCTCCCCTCTTCTGTTGACTTTTCCTTCTTTTAAGACTGGCATTGAATGGTCAAGCATTTTGAAAAATACAAATGCTTTTTCCTGGCCTCGTAGATCATCTCAAAGCCAAAGGGAAATTCCAGTCGCTCCTTACAACTTGTGAGAGTTGTCCAGACAGTTTTCTACATACTTGAAAATAGATATACTCTCAGTATTTCAAAAATATTGAGCCACAAACTCAAGAAGCATGTGATTCCGTGGGATCTGTTTGCAGATGAATATTCATTGAACTGTTTCTTGATAGAAATATCATAATACAAATATATAAAATTATATCAAGAAAGTCAAGACAGTGATTATACCGTAGCACTTTATAATTTCATTTTATTTTGCGGATTCTATGACACTAGCCTTAGACATTAGTTTTTACTTTATGAGCAGCTCAGGAAATTGCCTCATCTTGCTCAGGATATAATACCCCACCTTTCCTTTTGGACAGCAGATATAATTTTTGTTTTTGTTATCTGCATTTAGGAGCAATGTAATGACTGATAGATTAGCTTCCATTCATTTTATGTTTGTATCGGCCACATAAATGTTAATTATATTAAGAGTCAACCTTAGTGAAATAATTATTTGGTCATACAAATAATTGGGAGACCATTAGGTTCCCTTGGTCATTTCAAGCCTTAGTTTCCTTACATGAAAAGTATGTCTTTCATCTCTAAATGTCATTATCTTTATACATTGAGAGCCAAGACAGTGATATCATAAAAACAAAACTAGACTGTGATTGAGGAGACCTGAGATTTGAGTTTTGACTTTGCTCTCAGTGTGATGTTGGACAATCTCAAAACTTCTCTGTGCCTTTTATTTCCTCGCAAAGGGAATGCAATTATTTTATCACCTTAGTGAAAATCAACTCAGGAATTGAAAAGGGAAGATCAGAATCATCCCAGGGCTTGTTGAAACTAAGTACTCCCTGCCTTCACTCCAGATTCTAATCAGCCCTCCTTGGAGCTCATACATTATGATTTACGTCACCATCATACAGGGCATAATTACAGCTGCATCTGCAAAAGTTACAGAGAAGAATAAACCCATGTTTCCAACCATGTAAATGATAACTATCTTTGAAAATTATTTCAAATATCTTTAAAAAGTCAACTATGCTACAGTGAGGCAATTGGCTACCATTAGGTTAGGTGTATTCTGTGCTAAGAAGGGTTTTTCTTGAATGACAACTTAAAGAACTGAAATTTAACAGAAGGAACAAGCCTGGCACAGTTTTCGAAAGCATTTGATTCAGGTGACCACCACTAGGCTCATGCAAGGGGCACTCTCCTACTTACCTTAAGAGGGGTCACGAGCCATTTTGCTGGTTGGCTCCCACTTCATTAGATAGCACAGTTCTTTCCAGAACAAATACAACATGTGTAGTCTCGTGAAATAAGAGAGGGAATTCAACAGCAATACAAAGCAAATGTTTTCTTTTCTCGATAGTTTCATTAGGCCTTCTATCAGATTTTATTTTATTTACTCTGATTATGTTTAATGAGCCAGCTTTGGTTTTCCTGGTTGAGGTTCTCCCTGTTTTCGCTGTCCTATGTGTGCAGTTTCAGATAATTTTGAAAGTGCAAGTGCCTGCCCCTATGTACTTGAACATCATCTTTAATGGTTTATGAACATCATCTTGGCATTATTTAGATCCAGTTGGCACCATCAGAACCACTGTGCTTCCTGTGTTTCTCCTCTTCTTCCAGCATTGCTAAAAAACCGTGTTTGTGTTGTCCATGTAGGTACTCATTATAAAATACATGCTTATTACAATAACATTACAAAGGATTTTACACTTCCAAACAGGCTGAAAAAAATTATTCCCTACAATCTAGATAATAGGATTTATTTTGCTGACTTAGATGTTATTTTACACACTTTCACAGTCCCAGGAAAAAAATAAACATGCTTTTTTTTTAATCTGTAAAAGAAATAAAGTATTTCACTGATCACAGCTAAGAGCACCATATCCTTCTCTGACCCACAAGAAAATAAACTAGGGATAGCTGGATATTGTTAATATAGACACATATACAATACACATTATGTGTATATGTATATAGACCATATGCAGACATGCATACACACAAATCTGAAAAAGGTATTTCATTCACATTTAAACTCATGGGCAAAATTTAGTAATAATGTGGATTATAGAAAAGGAACTGATGGTTTCACATTTTTCATCATCTTGCCAAGTCATCTTTATGCGTTTTGTCCGAATCATGGCAACTTACTAAATGTCTCCTGAATTAACCTGTACACTACCTCCACAGGTAAAGCTCGTTCTCGCAAACCTCTCCAGCTGGTGGTTGGCACTCTGACACCAAGCTCGGTCTTCCTGTCCTGGGGTTTCCTCATCAACCCACACCATGACTGGACATTGCCAAGTCACTGTCCCAATGACAGGTAATATCAGCACTTGCTTTTAATAGCATCTGTACATGCTTTAGAGGAATGTGTAAGGTCAGGACTGTTAGCATTGACTTAACACCTGTTAACTATACAACCTGTTCTAGGTGTGAGGGGAACAAAGATATATAAGTCAGGGGCCCTGCCCTTGAGAAAGTTATCAGCTACCTGAATAGAAAACACATACATGTAAATCTTTTCAAAAATCATAAATTAGACAAGGAAGTAAGAGTCAAATAGCAAATGGGTGGTATCAATAATAAGTGTAATTAAAAACTCAGAAGATGGGGTAGTGAGCCAAGATTGTGCAGTCCAGCCTGGGTGACAGAGTGAGACTTTTTTTTTTTTTTTGAGAAAGAAAATGATGGATCAAACTTCTAGGAACTTTGCTTACAGAATAAATGCATGAGGAAATGCAAAGTAACAAGAAACAAGCAACATATACAATCCCTTGGTTATTGTTGTATGTAAAATGTAAAATGAAAATTTCAGGGGAGTGTTGCAGTGGATTCTAATGCTGGGCCAAGCCTGGATTTTGGCCAGACTGAACCACAGCCTCTAGCCTCAGGGCCCCTACCAACAGGCAGAAGTTAAAGTGAAAAGAAATTGTTGTGGTGGATCCTGGCAGTGAGCCTAGCTTGAATCTTGGCCTGGTGGTACTCTAGCCTCTGTCCTCAGAGGGCCTACTTAAGGAACACATTGGGACAAATCTTGTCACTAGGCCAAACTTGGATTCCAGCCAGCTTGAGTTACAGCTGGTAGGCAGCATTGCTTCCAAAGGATAAAACTATGCAAAAACAAAAAATAGCAAAGAAGGTTGGAGTGATGTGTGAGCATGGGTAAAATAAAGGGGAAAGAAAATGGGAAGAGTATGGAAATACTCATCCCATCAGTACATGAATTCTCAAACTGTTATTAAGAAGTGGGATGAGTGGGCCACTCACGGTGGCTCATGCCTGTAATCCAAGCACTTTGGGAGGCCGAGGTGGGTGGATCACGAGGTCAGGAGTTCAAGATCAGCCTGGCCAACATAGTGAAACCCCATCTCTACTAAAAATACAAAAGTTAAATGGGCACGATGGTTCGTGTCTGTAGTCTCAGCTACTCAGGAGGCTAAGGTAGGAGAATCGCTTGAACCTGAAAGGTGAAGGTTGCAGTGAGCCAAGATCACTTCACTGCACTCCAGCCTAGGCAACAGAGCCAGACTGCTTCTCCAAAAAAAAGGCTGGGCACGGTGGCTCACACCTGTAATTCCAGCGCTTTGGGAGGCCGAGGTGGGCAGATCACCTGAGGTTAGGAGTTCAAGACCAGCCTGGCCCACAGAGTGAAACCTCGTGTCTACTAAAAATAGAAAAATTTGCTGGGCATGGTGGTGTGTGCCTGTAGCTCCAGCTACTCAGGAGCCTGAGGCTAGAGAATCACTGGCACCCAGGAGGTGAGGCAGAGGTTGCAGTGAACCGAGATTGTGTCATTGCACTCCAGCCTGGTTGACAAAGATTCTGTCTCAAAAAAAGAAAGAAAGAGAACATTTTTATCACTCTACAATGTATTTTCCTACAGAAGCAACCATTGATTTGATTTCTATCACCATAGATGAGTTTTGCCTATTCTAGAATTCTGCATAGTCATTTAGTATGGGTTTTGTTCTTACACTCAGCATTGAGATTCATTCATGACATTGCAGATATCGATACTTTGTTCCTTTTTTGTACCCCTGAGTAATAGTCTATTATGTGAATATTTTAAAGTTTATTCTCTTGCTGATGAGCATCTGAATTATTTTTTTATTTTTATGAATCAGACTGTATAAACATTTTTGCGTAAGATTTTGGTGGACATACATTTTAATTTCTCTTACATAAATAAATAGAAGTGTAATTTCTGAGTTACAGGAAGATGTATGTTTATTTTTTGCCGAAGTTTTTCATCTACATTCTCACAAACAATGTAGGAGAACTCCGATTGCTCCACATTCTAAGCAGCATTTTGTTTTGTCAGCATTTTTCATTTTAGCCATTGTGGTGTAGTTGTTTATTACAGTTTTGATGTCCATTTCCCTTACACTAAGGCTACTGAGTACTTCTTAATGTGTTTTTTTGGCCATATATATATTTTTTATAGTGTTTTGTTTATTTATATTTGTCCAAATGAAACTAAAATGAAGGAACTTTAAAAGGTTTATAAGTTCTCAAAAGTACCTTTCATTTGACTTTGGAAAATCTAGACTCAAGAAAAAAAAAATCAAATTTTCCTTCAGATGCCCACAGTTCTCAAGGGATGAATACTTGGAAAAACATGTGGAAGATATTTCCAAAACCCAATTTTTTGAAAAATAATTTTTAAATGTTTCAAAGAATCTGAAATATTTTTTATTTTACCCATTGCTAATCCCATGACTGACTTTGTTTGGAAAATGAACTCAAAAGAACATGACTTCTTGTGATAATTCCAGTTCCTAATGGATTGGTCTAGGGTACTAATGCTGAGAAAATAAACATTTATGGATTGCTCTTTTTAAAAACTATCTCATAAAAATAAAGTTATAGAGAGCAAAAGGAAGAAGAGAGGGAGGAAGGAAGAAAGGAAATTTGATCTTCTTACAGCGAAATGCAACCTGATTTTAAGGGTGACTCAGCTTGCTTGATAAATATGTAGGACTACTTGTTTCAGTAGGTTCAGTGACCTGGCAAACTTGTATAGCATAATTTGGAGTAATTTCTTCCCCTGCCCACCATCGCCCTCAAGCCTCTCCTCCAATTTCACTTTGTCCTATTGACTCTTCTGTGAAAGAATTTATCTGATGACTGATTCTAATCGATAGATGTTGCCATGATTTGTCAGCACATGGAGGTAATGAATATAGAGCAAGTTAGGACAGATGACCCGATGGAGCTAGGATTTTAACCAGGACATGGACTCTAAGGCCCAAGCTATACAGACCACACGTGGATCTCACCCTCACCCTCACCCCATTGCACACACACCCTGACTCTAATCAAATAGATGGAATCATGCACATCAAGTCACAATATTTGAAATCAGTAATTTCATTTTGAATAAAGTCTTTTGAAAGATACTTTCCAGATGCTTGCATACTTTCAAACCTGAATCGCGTGGGAGAAGCAAGATATTCTTGACCAAAGTAGGGAACCATCAGGACACGACTTGAAGAATTAAACAGTAATGACTAAAAAGAAGTATTTGGATTACTTGTAAATTTCATTTTTCCGTGCTTCCTTTCTGTCTAGTTAGCATAGTTAATAAAAATCTGACATTTAAAGTATTTGTGGTGTTTGAGGAAAAATAATAGTCCCAATTTAAAAGCCTAGAAATACTGTACATATTAGAAGCATCCAAATAAATCTACCAGAACTACAAATTAGTGTAATTAGAAGCAGAGTAGACTTGGAGAAATCTACCCTCATATGTTCAAGCAGAATTTTTTTTTAGAATTTAGACTAATCCAGTAGGTTATCATAGCATAATCCAGTAGGTTAGCCTAATAGCCAAAAATGATGGTTATTTCCTGAAAATTGGAAGATTAACACAGCTAAAGTTGTCCTTAGGAGTATCCTTTTACAAAACCATTGCAATCTGAATGCTCTTGGCTGGTTATAGGAACATCAACTGGTATTATTTTAATTCATTGATATATGGCACCCTGTGTATAGTCTCTGAGTTTTAAAAAATTGATCTACATCAGTTTGTGTAGCCTAATTGATCCTATGCAAATAATTTAGTAAAATTCATTTTCATATTTTGACTATGAACTTGGTATATCAAACCTCTTAGGTAGTAAGTTTCCAGTTAGAAAACTCTCATTTTTGTTTTGTTTTTTAGCTTGGAAGTATCAATGAAATGTCACTTTATCCTTTGGGGAACATGTTTCTATTCCTATTTGCATCGGGTCTATATGGGTTAAGATTCTTTTCTGAGTTCACAGTGGAGAGCAGATGTACTTCATTTACAATTTTTATTCTTAATGGGCTTTGAATGGAAGAGTGAATGGAAATGTGTACACTTACACATTTGTCTTCAATAGAGCCTCGGTTTGAAAGAAAGCTTTCAAATTGGCCCTGATGAAGAGTGAAATGTTTTTAATCCAAATTTATTTCACCATTAATAGCTTATTTTTCTTTCTCTTGTTTCCAAGTTGTTAAAGCTTTCAAGACTGCTTTAGCTCTTACTCTTTTGCCAACATATGAAAGCTTTGAGAACAGTTTAGAAATCATTTTCACATTTTCTAGCATTCTCATATTGTGTTGATTTACTTCTAATGTCGAATGAGGGCTCTCCTTTCAGGCCAGTCCAGAGCAGGCTCTTGCCTTTTCCCACCACTGGGTTTGTAAGAAGCGAGAATTTTCAGCATCTGAATTCACACCTGATTGACTCTAGTGCCTCATTACATTCTGTCTTGCCATGTAAGTCTGAAGCTCAGGGAGGGCAGGGACCATGTGTGTCTTGCCCACCGTTATTGGCCAGTCCCCTAGGCAGCATCAGGAACATAGCAGGCCTCAAGTAAATACATTCTGAATCAAATAACCAGTGAAATGTCAACATTCTCACTTGTATGTGTCACAACTACCTCAAACTGAACGTGACAAGATTAAACTCGGACTTCTCTTGAAATATCACCTCACTGCTCTGTGTATTGCTTTCTGAAGTACTATCATTGTTCCATTCATTCTAATTTAAAACTTCATTTATTTTCTATTTTTCACCTACTGTTGTTTCTGAAGGCCCCAAGATACATTCCTTTTGCTTTTGAGATGTATCCATATCTGTGTCTGTGTCTTCTCGGTTTCGCACCGACGTTCCCAATCGAAGCACTTCTCACCTTACCCTGGATTTGGGCAACAGCATCCTGGTTACAGTCCCTGCTATTTTTTTTTTTTTAACCCCAATCATTCTAGCCTCCACAGTACTGAGGAAATCTGGACTATTCTTTATCAGCTCACTCTTTCCTCATCCCAAATTTATCTTTATCTCTCTTCTCTTCTTTCCAAGAAACAATTCTGACTTCAGACCGTGCTCCTGATCCCATCCTTCCCGTGTTGTCTAAGCCTTTGCTTCCCCAGTGATCTCCTCTCTCTGCCATTTGCCCTTTCGCAGCCATGGGGGTCCTGCTTCCGTTCTGTCTAGTTAGCATAGTTAATAAAAATCTGACGTTTAAAGTCTTTGTGGTGTTCGAGGAAAAAATAATAGTCCCAATTCATCACAATGACCGGGTAACAGTGATTGGCACCTCATACTCAGACTGAATTCATACTTTTTTTTTTTTTTGAGGTAGAGTCTCTCTCTGTAGCACAGGCTGGAGTGCAGTAGCATCATCTTGGCTCACCGCAACCTCTGCCTCCTGGCTGATGCGATTCTCCTACCTCAGCCTCCCGAGTTAGCTGGGACTACAGGTCCCAGGCGCATCACCAAGCCCGGCTAATATTTGTATTTTTAGTAGAGACAGGGTTTCACCATGTTGGCCAGCATGGTCTCAATCTCTTGACCTTGTGATCCACTCACCTCAGCCTCCCAAAGTGCTGGGATTATAGTCATGAGCCACCACGTCCGGCCTAAATTCATACTTTTTACACTATTAAAAGAATACTTTCCCCATCACTTTATTTTCACTTTTGAAAACTCAGTTTTAACTTTTTTTCACTTTCCTTGGCACCCATATCCCATAAGGAGTCTGGTTTCATTGATTCTTTCTTAGAACTGTAACTTTTATCTGTTCCAGTTTTTATGTGTGTGTGTGATTCCTTCCTTGTTATCTCACATCTGGACTATACCTTGGGATGCCTCCCTCCAATGTCTCTGTGACTTATTCTTCCACAGCTGGTAATTCCAGCTTCCTTCATTACTGCTCAACTTTATTTACCTGCTGAGGAATTACTACCAGCTCCCCCTGTCTAGGAAAAGAAGTCGTAGAATCGCTCAAGGAATACCTCAAAGCATATCTGAGTCATGCTCATGAAGTGAGGTGTAAATCCAATCCACTCTGCTTTCCTGAGGCCTGGAGAGTAGGTCCTAATGTAAACCACATCACTGGAATGAGATGTAAAATGCGGTCTGTGCATTTCTTAGGTTCAGGCTGGAGAGAGCCGCACGTAGCCCCACCTCTATGCTGTGTGCTTTCCATTCTGCCTCCTTCAGTCATACACACATGCATGTCTGCCTCCTTCATTAGAATGCAAGCTCACTTTTGAAGCTCTGCAGAGTCCCACTTGCTTCCATCTCACACAGAACCCAGCATTGTATTTTATAATAGTAGTTCTCAACAAACATATAAGTGAATAAGCAAGTTGGATGTTAAGAGGAGACTTTAAAAATCATCTAGCCAGTTGATTCAGTTCTTGAAGCTTCTTTGCAACATCTCCCATCCAGAGTCCAAAATGAGCCTCTCCAGGATGGCATCAAAGCATCAACATTGAAGATACAAATTCTGGTCACACTGACTGACCTGAATTCAAAACTCTGCTCTATTAGCATCTTGATTGCCTTGCATGGGTTGCTTAAATGCTTTTAGTCTTGGTTTTCTCATCTGCAAAAGGGGGTAAGTAAGATCATAGGGTTGTCAAAATTTAGTAAGATGACACATGTAAAATGGTTAATACAGTGTCTAGCATGCAGTGAGCACTCAAAATTATACTGCCTGCTGCTAGTCTTCTCGTCGCTTTTGATATCGTTTACTTTGTTTTAATCGCGACTTCAGGCAAGCCACTCCACTTCAGATACTCAGATAGTGCTGGAGGCAGACTTTCCAGAAGTCTAGTCTGATGACATTCATAAACTACTACTTGTGTTTTTCATAGACTTGTTGCCTCTCTGTACTTGTGCTCAATTTTAATCATTCACAAAAAAGGGTGCAAATAACCTTTGATCTTGGATGTCCTCAGAAGACTGTGACTATATGTTATGGTAAATACACATTAAAACAAAAACTTAAAAAGCCTGAAATAATGTGAAATGCTGATTTGCTTTTGTTTTTCTTCCATTCAGGGTCATTTTATCTGTCCTTTTCCATATCTTTGGCTTAGCACCACAGTTGATGGGTCCAGTGCAGTACAAAGGGCATTAGATTAGGAGTCAGAAATTGCCATTTGCCTGGCTTTGTCACCGATTATTAGGGCTTAGACACTTCTTGGGCTCCCTTTTTCTTGTATGGCAGTTCTTTCTCTGCTCAGAGTTTATTGTATGGATAAATTGAAATAAGTAAATAAAAATCGTAATCCCTGTGCAAATGTATAATGCAGAAATGTATTTGGCTTCAGTTTGCATTGGTTCTATAGGAATAGTGCATTATGCAATTATGTGTTACAAAATATAATTGTAGACCTAATGGCTTAAATCAGTATGTCTTGGGAGTTGAATAATGGGTTATTTTGAGATATTATATTCTGATTTCTAAATGACCCTTTGAGTACCCAAATATTCATTCAATATTTATGGAGCACATGCTATGTGCTAGGATATAAAGCACTGTTTATTATCATAAGACCTATATTTTGTTTTAAAATCAAGGAAAATTTACTTCACTTTAAATACAGCTAATTGCCTAGTTTGCTCTGTCCTTTTAAAAAATATGATAGTGCTATAAAATAAAATTGGAATTTGCCTGTAATATGCAATTATCAACTGAGACAGTGTTGAAAAGGACAAACCTATCTACAAGAGGAAGGGCAAAATGCCTAAGCCTTTATTTTCCTGAAAAACTTGGCATAAGAGGGTATTTCTAATGCTTTATGATCAAAATGGAAAAGATTTGCAGTCTGGATTTTTTAGGGGTTTTTTGTTTGTTTGTAAGAACAGAACATTTCTGTCTCATTTTATTCATAAGAAGGCTATGTGAGATCAAGTTGACTGCAAAGCCTTGAATCAACCTTCAGTAGCTCTGTTAGCAGTGGGGCCCTGGCTCATGAAAGCAACTAAGTCCTCAGAAATGTATCTACTAGAGATACATAATTGTGCTGGCCCATCTGGTCTGATTTTAGCTTCTCAGCCTTTCTGTAAGGTTCTGTAAGAGCCAGGACGGGGGAAATAAACAACACAAATTTCATGCAGCATACTTGTCAAGAAATGCATTTCATAAATCACTGCTATTTTGACTCATAGGACACAAAGGATTTCTATTACAATCTATTACAGTTCTATAATATAGCATTTGTTTCCAGTAGCATTTTGGCTAGAACAGCCTCCTTTGCTCATTCTGTTTTCTACTTTGGAATGGGGGAATGGAGTCCTGGACACAGCTTTCACTAGAAAGGAACAAGCTAATGAATGATCACAAGCCTTTCGGTGGTTTGTACCTAGTAAGAAAGTAGGCTGAATGTACGAATGGGTCTCATCTCTCTCTGTACTTATTAAACTGTCTACCCCCTGCTGACTTCATGGGCATACTCCCTATGCACCAGATACCCAGCTTAGAAGAGCCCAAATTTGGTTTCATGCTCTGCTGTCACTGTCTTAAGATTCTTGGTAACTTTTGAACAGAGTCTACATGTTCATTTCACATTGAGCCCCACAAATTAGGTAGCCAGTTTTGTTGCTCTTGGGCTTCACACTTAGAGAATGCCCAATAAATGTTTTCGGAATGAGCAAAATTCGTGATTTTTTTTAAAGCTTTACATAAAAGCAAGTAACCTTAATCTTACTCCATTTAATTTTGCTGATGTGAGGAGTGGAAGAAAGGTACAAAAATTTTGATGAAAAATTTAAGATATAAGAAAGACCCAAAAATAGTTTACCCAATGCCTATGTGCCCATCATCATAACATGGCAGCTGCCACTTTATTCTATTAACTTAGTGGTTATTTAAAAATAAAAAGCAGATGAAGTTGACCTACTGATCCCACCTCTAATCCTATTTTTCTCTCCACCTGCTCCCTGGGAGTCAAAGCACTATCAGGAACATTGTATCCTTCCAGTATTTGTTATCCCTTTACAGTGCCAGGAATAATACTTGGTAACATAGTTCATGTGTCTTAACATTTATGTAAATGATGGGAACTACATGCACCAATCTGTAGTTTGTTTTTATTTGATATTTTATTTCTAAAATCTATCTACATTGATATATATAGTTCTCCTCTTCATTCCCACTACTGTATACAGTAGTAATGAAATCCCCTTTCTTGATCTGCTCCCCGCCTTACAGAGGCTGTTTAAAGTAGAGCCTTTATATTTCAATTCTGCCACTGCCTCTGGTGAAAGTCAGTAGCTGGGTGATACTGGGAAAGTTAAGTGAATGTTCTGAAACTCGTTTTCACTTTAAAAATGAGATTAATAATTTCTACCACTTAAGATGTTTTCGTGACAAACCAGGTAATATATGTAAAATCTAGGTTCAGAAAATAGTGTTCGGAATTATTTTACACATATATATGTGTATATTTATGTAAACATGAATATTATGAAGGCCTAAGTAAAATACATAACAGTGATATGGAATTGGCATTATTTAAATATTTTTATTGTACTCAACTAGGCTAGTGGTCTTCTATTTTATAGTAAAAACAGTTCAACCTTAAAATGCGGTACTGAATATATCTTAGTCTTAGGTTCTTTTTTTACAAAATTGAATGATATTACCTCTAACATATCTTCCATGGATGAAAAAGCTTAAACTCGTACAACTATGAAACTACCATATTATTTATAAAATGGCACCTATGTTCTACTCTGTGCATAATTGGAAAAGAATATCTAGTATTTTCCAACTTTGCAAAGCAGCAAATAATAGAATGAAAATTCTGGAATTCCTTCAGACCAAAACTGCTGCTGCAGAGACCCCAACTGCAATGAGAAACTAAAACCTACATACATATTGAGCTTATTTTTTCATGTTCTCGGCAAATTTTTAAAAACTCTGAACAGAAGCCAATATGAAAGTCTACCAAGTTGGCTGAAATGTGTGATCAAGTAAGGAACTCGAAATAACATTCTGAATCCCCCTGCGATTTTAAAGCATTATATTTTGGTTATTCAACAGATTTTACACAATTCGCTATCGAGAGAAGGATAAAGAAAAGAAGTGGATTTTTCAAATCTGTCCAGCCACTGAAACAATCGTGGAAAATCTAAAGCCCAACACAGTTTATGAATTTGGAGTGAAAGACAATGTGGAAGGTGGAATTTGGAGCAAGATTTTCAATCACAAAACTGTTGTTGGAAGTAAGTACCCAGAAATGTTGGTTTCAGTAAGCTTTTGTAATTTTTTCTTTTTTCTTAGTTATCTAATTTTGAATTATGTCATTCATTGTATAATATGAAACAAGCTAATTTCTAAGCTCTAGTGTTTATGAAAATATAGAAGAAAATAGGACATATTGAACAATGATATTTCATAATCTTTTGTTATAAGTGATTTTTAAAATGAGGAATAAATATTATACCTCCATTGATGTCATTGGCTATTGTACTATAGTAGTTTAAAATCAATCCCTGACCTGCAAGCGTAACTGAACCAAAAAACAGAACAAAATAAAACACGTACCAATGTTCAGAATGGTAAGCCTGACCAGGAGAGGTTTTCATAAAAAGACTTTCAGGAACCTTGAGCTTTCTTCTAGTCATCCCTTCATTAAAACCTCATTGGGGCCAGGCACAGTGGCTCAGGCCTGTAATCCCAGCACTTTGGGAGGCCGAGGTGGGTGGATCACGAGGTCAAGAGATCGAGACCATCCTGGTCAACATGGTGAAACCACGTCTCTACTAAAAATACAAAAAATCAGCTGGGCATGGTGGCGCATGCCTGTAATCCCAGCTACTCAGGAGGCTGAGGCAGGAGAATTGCCTGAACCCAGGAGGCGGAGGTTGCAATGAGCTGAGATCGCACCATTGCACTCCAGACTGGGTAACAAGAGCAAAACTCCATCTAAAAAAAAAACTTCATTGGAATCAGTGTTTGAAATGATACCAATTAAAATTCTCCATCCAAGTTAGAGGACAAGTTGTAATTGTCTTCATAATGATTAGCTAGAGTTGACTTAGGAGCAAGAAGAATAGAAATAATGTCATTTTCCTCTTGATTCATCAGGTAAAAAAGTAAATGGGAAAATCCAAAGCACCTATGACCAAGACCACACAGTGGTATGTAACCGTTTATTTTCAAGAATGTTTTTTAAAAATTGTATCTGCCTTGTTAAGGAAATAGTTTTAGTATAAGATACTGAAATTAGATTAACTGACTAGCTATGAAACATTGGATAAAGTACTTAGTCTTCGGAATCAGTTTCTTTTTCAAAAACTAAATAAAAGTATGATTTCAAATCAACTCTGATTTGAAGTTCTAAAATTCTGAGATTCAATGTCACTTATTCTAGTATTTCAGTATTCTGGGTATTTCAAGGTTATGCATATATTAGCTTCTGTAGATTGCTTTTTAATATAACGTTTCAAGAGCAAATGGATACATGCTTTAGGTACATTGCTACAGCTCGAACCTTTCCTTTCTATTTTCTATCCTATCCTGCTTTAAAGAGCCAGTCATTATCACCATGATGAAGCAATCAGTTTGATTTTGTAAAATGCCCAGCGTCTGTTCAGCTCAGACAATATGTGTTTTCTGAACCAGACATTTCTGCATAAATCTAAAAATATCCTTTTCTGTCTCACTTCAGCCACTTGGCTTCTCATGCTCTCTTTCCTTCCACTTTTCAAAATCTATTCTCAGGAAGCATCATGTCAAGTATATACCACCCGATCTGCGATTGACAGTAAGTCATTGTTAGAGCAACCACGGATATGTTCACAGTTCAAATCTCATACCCAGTAATTAGTTTAGTGCCAAAATAATTGCAGCCTTTGTCATTGAAAGTAACAAAACACATTATGTTATTGGGCAGATAGAGGAAGCACTTTGGTGAAAAGAAGAAAATTTGGTGCTGGCTTTGGTCGCTAGATATCGGAAATATCCTACAGTCAGATGAGCATGCAAAGGCTATTTATGGGTAGAATTTTGCTCTCTGAGATGTGTGCTTCAGGTGTGTGGATGAATATCTTTTTATGTATAATTAAATAGTCCACAGAATACCCCCATGGATCACGTGCCCCAGTCTGGGGAAAAAAATAGTAGTATATAATTCACTGGGATTAAAAAATAAAAATAGGAAGATTGGGTTTGGTGACAGAAAATAGTCTTAGATAAATAGAATTGACTAAAAATCCGCATAAGGCAAATGTTGTTTATATGGTTTGAAATGGCAGGAAAATGTGTTCATTGTGAAATCATCATCAAATAATAATTATGAGAATATTTTGATGTTTTCAAGTATTAATACAAAAAAGAGATTGCAGGTAAATTCCTAGGCCTGTTATATCTCTCTCTCTCTCCCTCTCTCTCTCTCTCTCTCTCTCTCTCTCTCTCTCTCTCTCTCTCTCTCTCTCTCTCTCTCTCTCTCACTTGTCTATTTGGTTGGTTTCTTGTTTTCAGGTTTTGCTGCTTTTCTAATTGTCTAATACTTAAAGATTTAGAATGTTAAGTGGGAAAAGAAGCATTAACAATGTTACCTATAACAAAACTACCTATAAGGGTCATATAAAACCTTTTATAGTCTGGTAAAACTTTGGAAGATCTTTTGTTTTCTAAGCATGTTATCATTACAAATTAAAATCATACTCTATTTGCAGCTTTTCATCTCGCTGTTTTTACTTGGTCAAAATATGTTATGAACACATTTCATGCCATCAAATGCTCTTCATAAACATAATTTTAATTGCTGTGTACTGTATCATCTAAATACATGATTATTAAGTTTCCAATTTGTAGGAATTTATTTTTAATTGTTTTAAAATTGTGGGTGATAGTATAGTGAATACTTACGATAAAGCTTTGTTCACAATACTGATCATTTCCTTAAAATAGACACTTAGAAGAGGAATTAACAGTTTAGAGTTTTAACTTTTTTTTTTTTTTTGGCTATGCTTTAAAAAACATGTGCAGAACATGCAGGTTTGTTACATAGTTATACACGTGCCAGGGTGGTTTGCTGCATCCATCACCCTGTCATGTACATTAGGCATTTATCTTGTTCTCCCTCCCCTATCTCCCCACCCCCTCCCTATGTCCATGTGTTCTCATTGTTCAACACCTGCTTATGAGTGAGAACATTCAGTGTTTGGTTTTCTGCTTTTGTGTCAGTTTGCTGAGAATGATGGTTTCCAGCTTTATCCATGTCCCTGCAAAGGACATGAACTCATCCTTTTTTTGGCTGCAGAGTACTCCGTGGTGTAGATGTGCCACATTTTCCTTATCCAGTCTGTCACTGATGGGCAGTAGGGTTGGTTCCAGGTCTTCACTATTGTGAACAGTGCGGCCTTCCTAATACTATGGTCAGATTCCTTTCCAGAAAGTGGTACCAATTTATAGACTTGCCAGCCATTTATCAGTTTATGTTGCTATAGTACCTTGATTGTCAGCTTTGTATTTTTTTTTTTTTTTTTTTTTTTTTTTTTTGAGATGGAGTTTTGCTCTTGTTACCCAGGCTGGAGTGCAATGACGCAATCTCGGCTCACCGCAACCTCCGCCTCCTGGGCTCAGGCAATTCTCCTGCCTCAGCCTCCTGAGTAGCTGGGATTACAGGCACGTGCCACCATGCCCAGCTAATTTTTTGTATTCTTTTTTAGTAGAGACGGGGTTTCAACATGTTGACCAGGATGGTCTCGATCTCTTGACCTCGTGATCCACCCGCCTCGGCCTCCCAAAGAGCTTTGTATATTTTCATCACTACATTTTTGGCCAATGTAATAGTTTATAATCGTTGCCTTGATTTTTATTTCTCTGATTGCTGATTAAGCAGTATTTTCTTCACCTGTTTATTAGCCAGTTATATTTTCCTTGTAATGATGTTCTGTTGCAGCTCTTGGTTTGCTGGCTCTTTCATGGGTTCTTTTAAGACTATATAGTCTAAGACTGTATATATTAAAGAAACATCAACCTGTTGATGATACTACCTAGAAGTATTTCTTTCACATTTGTTATCACTTAAGTTTGTTCATAGACATTTTTGAAATAGACAACTCATGAAATTTCCTTAACCAAATTATTAGACTTTTCCATTGTGATCTCTTCAATCGCTTTACATTGTAGAGAGACCCTCCCTCTCCAGAGAGCAGATAAATATTTCTCCCCTTTCTTTTAGTTTTATGAGTGGTTTGATTTTTATAATAATTCTGTAAATTTTATTTTGCTATGGTGTATAGTAAGGTTATATATTGATTAGGCTATGTATTTCCCCCCCAAAAAAAATAACCAATTGGCTTAGTGCTATGTATTGAATTGTGCCTCCCCATGAGGTCCCTTCACCCTTGTGTCTTAAATCCAGTCAACATTGTATAGCAGAGGTAGATCCGCTGTACCTTACAGGCAAAACAGTGGGATAGAGCTGCTCTTTCATCCTCTTCTAGAGCAGCGCTCATTCTTTGTTGTGAATGGTTTCCTAGGAAGCATACATTGTCCCTAACCCTTTTGGCTATCATGCTTAACCTTTCATGTGACTCTGTGATATCATTTCTTTCATTCCCCTTTTTTCAGCATCACATCCCAGTAATTTGTATTTGTCTTGGCAAGATATTTCATTTAGGATGAGTTACTCAGCAAGATTGAGAAAGCTGATTGATGTTTTACTCTCCAGGTATTAAAATTTTTTTTCCTTCAACATAAGCAGCCATGATAGGAAGGGCTAGGAAGCAACTTCCTGCCTCCATGACACAGAGCCAGGCATTTTATCACTTCAAGCTGTGAGGTGGAGTACCCCAACTCCCGCCAGCTCTGATGAGTTTAAAATTCATTATTTCCAAAGGAAAACCCAAATTCATTGAAAAGATATTTTAAGCCTTCTTTGAGAAGCTTTATTATTTCCTTCTGGACAGAAAAAAAAAAAAGACCTTACATCTCTGCTCTCAGGTAGCTCTGGGACATGGGGTAGTTGTAACAAAACTGAATGGGACAACTTTGACTATCTTATGTCACCACATAGAATTGAGTCTGAAAACGACTTTGATACTTCAGAGGTATATTTTAGTCCACAGACGTCTATACCCAATTATTTACCCAACTCTCCTTTGAGACTGATCTTTGAAGGTAATATTTTAAGAGATCTGAAACTAATTTCACATGTTTTGCTTTTAGGATTTTAAGCAAAAAGACACACTGAAAACTTTTTTAATTCATATGAACATGGTTACACCTGAAACCTTAGAAGCAGCAAAAACTCTTGAACACCTTCCAATAAGAGGTATTCAAAATGGAAATGAAAAACCAACTTGAACTTTAGCCTATCCATTTTAAAGATAAATACTTTTTAGGTCAAAAATGTGGATATTAAATGCAGCCCCATCCTACCCTTCTGTTTACACTATATATTGTAATTCACCTATCTAGATATGTGTTATGCTGGCAGGAAAGCTGCAGTACAGTTGTGCCAAGGGGCATATAGCAGGGATCTCTTCTGATTGGTTAATGCCTCTGCCCTACCAGTTGTTAAATGTTTTCAATATCGCTCCAACCTGTGCCTCTAGAAAAAATCAGAAAAGGATATATGCAGAAACAAAACAGTTACTTTATATAGAAAGAATATAAAGTAAATCACTTGAGATCCATACGATTGGGGAATCAAAAAATACATTTATCATGATGATTGTACTATTTTTTTTTCCATGTTGAGAATCTAAGACACTCTTTTGTGGAGGTAAAACCCAAAGTCTACTGTTAGGTTTTATTGTTTTAAAAAATAAAGAATGGTGGCTAATATTTTCATATGTTTTCCATGTTTTGAAAAAATGTGTTACTTAACTAGTTAACCAAAATCAATATTTGAAGTATGTAGCACTTATTAACAGATTTTTAAAAGCAAATTTAATTATTTAATCCAAATCTTCCTAGAATCAGTGTTCTTCTAAAATATGACATCTATTTTTATCTTTATTTTCTATCAGAGATCCACCCATATTCTAAGAAATCCACAGTTACTATCAAAAAGAGAAGTGGTACCAATTGTTAAAATGTAACAATTATTAAATGATTGATGTGAACAGAGAAATTACCTTTATGACTGTGTACAGTGAATGTATCAGGCATCCTTGACTTATGC